AATATATAAATTGCATCTATGCATACAAGACAATATTTTAAAAAATTTGACTTACACCACTATGGCTTTTGCCCCTCCATATGTAACATTATTTATAAGAAAATTATTGTAATAAAGAATTATAAGGAAACGTATAATAAATTTGAAATTGTATGATACTAATGCCGGATATATTATACGAAATCAACAGAAGACGATTAAGATAATAATGGTGTTTATTATTTATCTATAAAATTTCACATTTTAAAAATTATCGTCAATTATTATAAATTTCACATAAATGTGAAGGTTTGAATCAACGCTCAAATAATAGCTTCTTGCTTGCAAAATTTGACATTTATTTGAAAATTAAAATTATAAAATTACAATTATATTTTTCAAAATTATGAGATACAAAATTCGTAATAATTTTGAAGAATGTAATCTTAATTTTGTAATTTTAATTATCGTAATTCGTTATTAATTGGAATACGCAAGATGGAAGCGCGGCCGCCGCGGCCAGAGAATATCCCCTCCAGCTGGCTCGGACACGAACCATTAGCACGGACGCAAACCATGTGCGGTTACCGAGCGATACGACGTAGTTGAGTTGCACTTTCTCAGGCGGCGCGTCGGAAAATGCAACACACGAAAAAGGCCGGGATGGCCTCTCTCAGGTTTCTCTCTGGTTAGATCGATGTGTCACGTGAACAGTACGAAGAATTCTCTCATGTGATCTGATGTGATCCCTTCAGTTTTCGATAGCTGTAAGTAGCTCGCACGCGATACGGCCGCTTGCTCCGCGCTCGTACGCCACTTTTCGAAGGATCTGTGATCAGACAGGAAGAAAAAAAAAATGGGCGCTTCCGCGTTACCCGTGATAGCCTTCACGCTTCTCTGGGGCATCGTGCTATTCCTTGGAGTAGCTCTACCACTTTTCGTTCCGAAGGGACCAAACCGAGGGTAAATAGACGCTCTCAACGCTCTTATTTGCCGTCGCACATTCTTGTTCCGTTGCAATTCACATGTAACATAAATCTCACGAAACAGACGGATATTTTCTCTCACGCAAACATATTTTTCCTTCTAACGTCACAGCTCTTGCAAAATTTGGCAATAACAACAAGGCGTTTTACTTAACTTTCCATGAAGATTTCCGCTAATAGAGATACTTCGAAAGCATCAATATTCGCTCGAGTATTATTCATAATATAATTTTAATTTATGTGTGTTTCTAGGATACTACAAGTTCTACTGGTGTTAACAGGCTTTACGTGCTGGTTATTGTAAGTATATTTTCTTGACATCTTGACGATCTAATTTATATTTGTTATTATTAATACGTAAATGAAATTTTCTTACAGCTGGCTATGCTGCTACATGGCGCAGATGAATCCATTGATTGGACCGAAGTTAGATAATGTAACCATCCTAGTTATGGCTCGAGAATGGGTACGTAAAAAAAATATCAAAGATATAAGTAATTGAACATGTATCATATATGTAAATTGATTGAATTAATTATTGTCGTTAAGCAATTACATAAGGAAATGTATAAATAATTTATATTTGTAGGTATATTACTGTCTATATAATGCACGTTGTTTTATTACAGGGTAATCCTATTTCCGACTAATGAACATTCCAAAATTTGCGCGAAAATTTTGATTTCAAGTATATACATCCATTCCCCGACGTTACTTTTAACGAAATTGTGTAATTATAAATGTGTAAAATTATACGAAGGTAAAACAAAATACCAGTACATATTAATAATTCCTATAAATGGGGAATAATTGTAATTCAGTTATATATTATATAATTTAATTTGTATATAAGATATCTATCGTAATTGCTTAGAAATGTGTAAGAATTTTAATGTAATGATCATCTGAAGAAATTATTGTTGGGAAAACGAAATAACGTTGTTTTAATCAAACACATCCTTGTATTGCTCAAACCTGTGTTTCCCAGCAAAAGTAATGATACAAAAGATTAAGAATAGAAAACCTATGTGCAATAAATAATTAAAATCTCACATTATTCAATAAAAAATAATAAAATTGTACTCTCTATAATTCATAAAATATAATTATACATCAGAAGTCCTGTCCTATATTTTAATACGACTAGAATTTATAAGATTTATTTTCAAACAAAGATTTTTTTAAAGGATGTAAAACGATATGTATATTACAGTAAACGATATATAATAATTTATTGTTACGCAAAATAGCAATTTATGTCCTAAGTATAATATGAAATACATTTAATACAATCGCGTAATTTTCGATTATTAATTTCAAAT